GGAGGGAGGGAGGGAGGGAGCGGGAGGGATCCAACATCGACAAGTAAGGGTTGAGAGCCACAACTTACTGTCTTGACCCTCTCTCTGAGTCTGGCCTCGGAGGTGCCTGCGGCAAAGAACATGCCGTTGCCGGAATAGGCACATCGGGTCACCTCGAGACAAAGCCACTCCACCATCGTAAACCCTTGCGCGAGATCTGAATGTACCATGGCCTGAATACTTTCGGATGTCGAGGCATCATCAACCTCGCTGCAGAGACAAGTCTGTCACTCTTTGACCGTATCAATGGCAAGCCAGACAGAAAAGATGTACACCTACAAGAACCGAACGAACAACCGACCTGCAGCGGCACCCGGAGACCACCAAACCAGTGAAAGCTAACGGAACCCAATGAATATGTGACAGGGAGGTGGCCACATGGCTCGGCAAGTCCCGAGAGTTGAGGATTGGAGTTCCAATGGGTGACGGGACAAAGAAAACCTGAAGCCGAGGATGGACACCGACATTCGACTAACTCAAAGGCTTCAGTTTCACTCTAGTGCAAAGATCCCGGTCAAAGCTGAAGACCCTGGAGATGTAGGGCTGCTGGCGCAGGCATCCAAGCTGCTGCTACCAACCGAGAACAGGTTCTGGCGTGGTGATTTCACAGCAAAGAGAGGCACAAGGAACCTTCAGCGTCTGAAGAGGAGATGTTTGATCCCGCAAATCCCACGACTCGACGACAGCGCCATCACCGCAGCAACTCACGATCGGCAGCCGTGGATGCCTTGCACAATCGCGCGAGGGCTGCAAGTTTGTCTTGTGAGAAGGCACGCCGTCTGTTAGACTTGTAGCATGGAGTAAACCCATCGCTCTCCATCAAATGCTTGGTCCCCGCGACTAAACAGTAAAGCGATGGTACTGTTGAGAATTCGGAATCTTTCTTTCTGACAAAGACCTTCATGCCATGCTTCGTGGGTGGCAAGCCGCAAGCTATGCACCAAGCATCCCCTCTACGAGGGAACTTAAGCCTGTCCGGGCTCCAACGTTCTCGAATGTTGGAGATGCTTCGAAAGGTTCATGCCGAGTGACCAAGTGCTTAGTCGAACAGCTTGCGACTCTGCAGGCAAGGGTCGTAACCACTTCGTTGACCTCACTCATCCTCTGCATTTCGATTGGCGTGAGGAACGTTCCAGCTTCCAAGTCCAACCTGAGGGCCGCAGCTGCCAAACACGGGCTGGCCCCAAGCACTTAAACGTGGTCTCGTGCTTCTCTCCGCGCCTGTACACCTCTTGCGAAGACCCACCCACAAACAGGGTGCACGACTCGCTGTCATACGTGATGCTGCGACCGCCTGGCCAAACACTGTGCTCTGTGGAATGCCCGTCCCATCAGACTCGCAGCGGAACTCAGTCTAACACAATGCTCTCAGACCCAGGCATTTGGGAACCCTCAAGCGGTGATGGCGCCCATACTGGGAATGAAACTCCAAGGTTCGATCATGCAACAGCATTACCTGAGTCGCGAGCTCCCATGGTCACAAGACAACGCTGCACAGAATTGAACTCAACCATCACAACGGAAGCAGAGACTCGAGACCAGGTCTGTTTTTGGTATTGGTTTGTTGTTGTTTGTTGTTGATGGTTGCTTGTCTTGGCTGTTGGTGCCTGGGTCTTACAGGACTGCTACGCTCCCAGGGGTTCTTGCCTGGATCGATCTTACAAAACTGTCAGCATTACCTGGTGGATTCTTCTGCCGAGAATGATTCTTTTGCCGAGCTCAAAGGTGGTGCGGCCTATATCATCAAACATCCCGACCCTGCAGATCAGGAGTTTGCGGGCCGTCCTGCCCTGTCCCCCGTTATCTATACCCTTACCGAGGGTAGAGAAGAACAAAAACAGGCAGTATCACAAGTGACAGCTGTTGGCGTTTGAGGGTTTTGAGAGGATTTCGGAGTACGTACCGTTGGTAGAGGAGCACCTTTTTGAACTTTGGGCTCCCACCTGATACAGGGACCGTGATCTTACTCTGGCGCAGCTTTCGAGCTGAGCCGGTTTGGGGTTTCTGCCACCATCCGAGCTGATGCCTTTACCATGAGTTGACCATGCGAACTGATGAGTCATGTGGTGACTGGTCTTCCGAAATCATGCAGATCGCAACCAGGCAAGTAAGGGTTCCACAGGACCTCGCTGAACAACATAGGCTCAAGAGCTACGCCCTGAACCCGAAATTGGTCGCTGCAGCCTAAGAAGCCGTAGTGCAAGTGTTCACTGAAAAAGAGCGCTGTTTCCCCAAGCACTCAGCTTGAAATCCCCAACCCTGAAGCGAGAGCAACAGGACTGGAACTCTGCGGACTGCAATGTCTGCAGACCCTGACTTTGAAACTTCCTGGTAAACATCCGTGGCTGCAGACTTCGCGCACATTGTAGGTAATACGCGGTTCAAGATCCCAAGCAGGGGTTCACCATACGGGCTTGGTGATCCTCTTTTCTTGGTGAGCGGCAAGCTTCTTCCAATCCTCGGACAGGAGCTGAAGGTCCACAACCTCCGAATCCAGACCACCTCGATGCTGCCAGCAAGACACGGACATAGACAAAGAGGCTAAGGCAAAATGGAGTTCCAGGCTGGTCACTTGGACATCCAGAACAGCACTAAGCCCAATCAGCCATGCCCAATCGGCAAAGCTCGTAACCCCAACCGTAAGTCTCAGGTTTTCTCCCACATCGCAGCCGTAAAAACGACATAGTCGCTGACCGAAGTCGATCATGCTGCATGGGGAATCCACAAACAACGTGATGTTCAGGTAAGTGCGCTGCGAGAGCACTTCATTCCGAGCTCTTTCAAGTCGAATATACGAAGCTCCTGACAAGAGGGCCGGTTGTTTGGCTGGGTGTTTGGAGCTGCGAGTATGTCGCATGAAATTCCCAACAGTAACAGCACGAGCGCTCCGGCGCATAAATGCCGGTGGATAGAACGTACTGGCCATCAGGGCTGACCTTTACTCGCGAAGAAGCCACGTTGAACTCGAAATCCTTCCAGGCTCAGGAGGGGTCCCTTGCTGTGCACATCGGACACCGGGTGCTAAATAAAGCGAAGCCAACAACGAGCATACTGTGAGCTTACAGCTGACAGGGTAAAGCCGATCCTGGATCAGATCGATGCGCTTCCGGAAGTCCTACATCGCGCTTTATCATTCGTCACACTGGGTGCATGCAAGCAAGAAGGGCCTGTCCTCATTGCTTCGCAATGACCTCATGCTTAGAACGAGCTACTCGGCTCCATGCTACTATAATTATTTGAGTAACATAGCGCATCCTGCATGATCCAAGCAACTGCTTTTTCTTCTTGGACTCGGCGAGCCATTGCGGAAGCGATTTGCCAGCGGAAAGATTATAGACCTCCCAGTGCATCCAGGATCATCCGATCATCCGGGCACGCGAGCATTCACTGTAGCATCTTGCATGCGGGCACACACCAAAATCAGCAAAACGAGCGCAGAATTCAAGGGTCATACTATGTCCCAGCAAGAAAGCTGGCAGCGAATGCTTCAATACGCTGCACTGTAGGAATAAGTATCTTGCCACTTAAGACCTCAGAAGCGGTGGCCAGGTCTGGGTGCTCGAGGGCACATGAGGTTTAGCTTATACCGAAAGGGGCAATCGAGAAGGGACGGGGTTGGATGCGGTTGGATCCAAGACAGTTTGAGCAGGCATTCGACTTTTCCACCCCTGAGGACCATTCAAATGTCCCCAAGCTCACTTCAGCACGCTTTCTTGCGAAACCAAGCCATCTCATCGGAGTCGGCACGGATTAGAGAGGCAAAAAAAGGTGAACGGATTGTACAAGGGGCATCCGGCCGCAACGGCATTGAACGGACACCCACAATCTGTAGTCTGGCATTCTGTCAACGAGCTCTGAGGCACCGTGGCAGCCTTGTATGTAGTGCGAAAGGTGAAGCAAATCGGATAAACCCTTTGCGCGGACACATTATCAAAATTTATCAAACACCGTCAGCTAGCAGACCTCGACCGCAAGCTTTAAGCTTTCCTGACCTCAGACTGAAACCTTGCAGCTTGACATGCATTCATTCTGTGTCCGAGCCTTGATGTCATTGAACTCAGTGACCTCGCAGGCCGCTGAGCATTCGATCAGGAAAAGCATCTGTGGCGGCCAACGGGCTCAGCCCGGAACTTGCATCTCTGCCCATGAACTCGAGGGATTGTCATGAACCCACGCACGCTAACACAGATGAAGAGTGTAACAGTGTAGCATGACCTCACATTTAGTATCAAACCATGGCAAACGCTACACCCACGAAGTCCTATACTGAGACTACTGCATCAGTAGAAAGCCTCAGGGACCCAGCTCAAGATGAGAGCATGCGGCATGGCGAAATGCAAGGGCGATTCAACGGCAGTCCATGCTTGCTGCCGTGGGGAGTCGAAATTTGAGAAAAGAATCGCATTTTCCTCTTCCGCCTCACTTAGCATCAGAATATGCGCCAAGAAAGTGCTTGAGACTCTGAGACTTCTGGCAAGGACCGGCACGACACTCGCTCACACTTCTTTTAAAGAAGCAAGGTTGTGGAGCGTCTGGCTTGCAATAAAACAGAAAGAAGAAAGGCTTGCTAAGAAGGCCTTTCATACCTGCCAATTCATGAGCTTAGCCGCCAAACTCTTTGCATTTCTGAACTGGTTCTCGTCCAGCTCCATGAAGCTCGCCACACGTGGGGACACGTTCTCACCCTGCCAAATGTCAGAAAGACTGTCCCTCTCAACGGAGTTGATCCACGCTATGAAGTTTTTCACGTACGTAGTCGCGAGCATGTTTGCGTCTGGATTCAAGTTTACAATCCGACCGAATTGGACCGGGTCCAGGACCATGAGAGCGCACTCCGTCAGAGCTGTCAGCAAACCCAAATGAACCCACGTCGAAGTCCACAACACCGGCTCCGAGATCCAGTCCTCACCTCGCGCAGACTTAAGTGACTCTGGGCGGACTCACAGGTTGCTGACGCCTCGCCTTTGTCCACAAGCTCCTTGTGCTCGTCGTTCTTGGAATCGAAGCGGCTGTAGACAAGCCTGCCCAAGGCCGCTGTCGCACTCCGTAGCTCTACATAGCTCTACATGCTCCGGCTGCCTACACGCTCGTGGCAGACACAACCGTGTACTGGCAGAACGGCGCTGACTTGATCGTGCTCGGTATCTGCGGACCAGCACCGGCAAAAAAATCCCAGAAGACCCAAACTTTGCCAGCCTCCCAGCCACGACGATGTACATGTGGGTTGCAGTCTCCCCAGGAATGAAAAGGGTATCAGTTCGTGCCAAGAGCTTGTTGTAAATCGCATTGTTCGCCAATCGGTGTATTGTAACACGCGAGACAACGCAAAGTCTCGCAAAGAGTGGATGGACCGAAAAGTGCGGCATGCAAATCTCGCCTCAGATGGAAAGGCCAGAACAACACAACCAGACCAAACTATTCTGAGTCCGTCGGAGGCACATTCGAGTTCGCTCCTGAGCTGCTCCGACAGGAGGGACAAGAGTTTCACGTCTTTGGCAGGCACGTTGTCTTCCTGGCCTTAACAGCTCTGCAATGCTCTGCAAAGAACTGCTTCGCGTGTCTTGTCGGCCGCAGGCCCCATGCGACTGCAATTCAATTCATTGTGGCAACTGCCAGCACTAGCTCTTGGCTGTCACTCCATGCAAAGACCTGCCGAGGGACTTTCGAGAACATGCTCCGCATACTTCTGGATGCGCGCTGACAATGTGATGGAAACATGGTTCTTCCGCAGGTGCCGCCGTAACTCCCAAAATTGTCGGGCTCGATTCTCTGTCATGCCTGTACAGCAATCGAGCCTAGAGGTCTCCATCACACCCTCTCTAGTCTCGAAACAGTCTGGACTGCCCGCCTCGTAGCTGCGCCAACGAACCCGAGATGCTGCCCACAACCTCAGCTGACCCTGACACAGCAGGAAGATTTGGACAAGCTGCGCGGTTGCGGCCGCATGAGTTTTGTCCAATTGCCACGTCACGTAGGAGAAACCAACGAGGGCAAACACCACAGTGCCAATAGCAAACATGCGCTCCTTACAAAATGGATTGAATTATCAAGCACCTTCTGCAAAGAGATCGTGTCATGAGGCAGACATTTCAAGTCACTCTTAGTATACGACATAAGATGCAAGCAGGAGTCTGACAAGGTGTGAGGCTGCACGTGCATTGAAGCCGGCGTGAATTGGGTGATTGCCCAGTGCAAGCTCGTGGCATACCTGCAGATATATATATATATATATACAAAGTTGTCTCTGCGACAGCCTGCTCGAGGATGGCTAGACGCAGTTGCCTGGCCCCAGCGGGCCGAAGGAGCAGAAAGCTCGGTGATACCAAAAATCCAGCCCTGTACCTACCTGCCTGCCTGCCTATCTACCGATCTGCCGATGTCAGACACACACATACATACCGCCATACGGGCATACAGACATACAGACATCCAGACATACCGACATACATACATACATACATACATACATACATACATACATACATACATGCATGCATACTTGCATAATACACGCATACAGACATACATACATTCATACATACATACCTACATACACATATAAATATATATATATATATACGTACCCAGATACACATATACGTACGTACATACGTACGTTCGTACGTACGTACGTCACAGACAGACAGACAGACAGACAGACAGACAGACAGACAGGCAGGCAGGCAGGCAGGCAGGCAGGCAGGCAGGCAGGCAGACAGGCAGACAGACAGACCGACCGACCGACCGACAGACAGACAGCGACAGACAGACAGAGACAGACAGACAGAGACAGAGAGACAGA